ATCCAATATCAGTATAAATGAATACATAAGTGAAGTAGAGATTAAAAATTTGGTTTTAACTCGAGTAATTAAATGATGTATTCTAGAAATTTTGATTTAGGTTTTAATGGCTCCATCTTAATTTGTGTTGAGTCGTCGAAACAAACTATCTTCTTATAAGTACTATTTTTCGCATATTTTTTCATGTATAATTTATAATAATTATTATAATATTTCATATCTCACACTGGATATTTCAATTTGAATTCTGCACTGTTAGATGATTGACATATGTTGACGAGTTGAACACAAACATTTGAGACTCATAGTAATAGAATTTTGATCTTGAATTGAAAAAAATATAATTGTTATATATGGATGTGTGGAAAAATCCCCATGATGTAGTAGTAATTAATTAGCCAATTACTGATTTTGTAATTTAATTTAATTGAATAACAAGAGAAAATTCACAACCAAATCCACCTCAGCCAACAATTAGACTGATTTAGATCTTATCATCCATCTATTTTGTATATTATCACATCGAAATTTTTTCTCAAATTGCGGCGGCTTGGCAAGGGCCACGGCCATGTTGTTACTCAAATAAACTTTCATTTTTTTAAATGCTCAAAATGAATGGATTGAGTTATTCAAATTAAACCTGATTGCCATTTTTGCTCAAATGTAAATTATGACATTAGTGAAACTCATTTTAAATATGATAGCATTTATTTTCAAGAAAAATATTTGGGTTAGTAACATCCAAAATACTTTAGAGTATCTCCAATGGCTCAATGTCTGTTTTGAGATGTATGGTGTGGAGAAAGGAAATAAAAATATTTTGTCTCCAATGGTTAATCTCAATTGTAGGATAATTTGATACGTGTAATATAATAATTGGTTGATAGAAACATAAATATAAAATAAATAAAATAATATAAAAAGGAAGATGTCTATAAGTCTTTCTACATCTAGTCATCTACAAAGACTTCTAGAATTATTGAATGCCACATTGGATTTTAGAAGCTAGGTGGCAATGGAATAGAGCAATCCATGTACCATTGGAGATGCTCTTATGAGAGCACCCGCATCAGGTGAACTATTTTTGCGTTTAAATGCACCAAGGCCGTTTAACCTGGATGCAAGCATCCATTAAAAGTGGGCCCCTTTTTGGCCGTTCAATATATTGAACGACAAATTGGCTGTTTTATATATTTATATATATATATATATATATTCAATTAATTATTTAATCATTCTCTTTTTTTAATATTTAAATTAATTTTTATTTATATTACACTTCCCAGTATTGATAAGTTCAAATTTTATCTATTCACATTTTTCAATGTGTATCAATAATTTATTTTTTCTATTCCCTATTTTTTGTATGCCTATAAATACACTTCAGGTTTACAAAATCGAGAATTTCAAAATTATATTCGTAGAAGTTCAGAGATAAGAGATAACACAATGCATCATCAACTTCGTGCCGACTTAGTTGAGCATATTTGAATTCATTTTGCCACCAACTAAAAAAATTATTTTTCTAATTGTACTATTTTTTCGTAATCTTAATTTAAGTTATTTGGTCTTGTAGTGTTCTTTTATTTTCATTCATTTAGAATTTAGTATTATAGTTTAAAAATATTAAACTTTTATTATTATTAAAAATATAATATTAAAATTTATATTGAATTAGTAGATAATGGGTCTCGTATATATGTATTTAAATGAATGGATAGAAATGTGAGTGAATGTTATGCATTGGGTCCAGTCTTGCCAATGACATGTAAATAAACCCAAGTCTTAGATAACATGGATAAATCTATATAAAATTAACAAAATTCACTCTAATGCAAAGAGATTAGATATCTACTTGGGTCTAAAATAGATTTAAGGGTAGACCGGGTCTCTTTTTCTGGCTGCCACATCAGCAAGACTCATTCTACTTTTTATTTGCATTGGATAATATATTTTTTTAGATTGAGTCTATTTCTTAGGTGACATATAATTTTTTATGATTGAACTCAAAATATTGTGGATGCTCTAAATGAAAAGATGTTTAGCGCAATGATGATGTGAACATGATGTTGATAAGAGAGAGTGTTAATTTATATTGAATGAATGAGAGGGATGTGGATGCCCACAGAGAGATTGGGGTGTGATTAAATTTTTATATAATAGTTGGTTGACTGTGAGTGAACATACTATTTTACTATATATAAATATTTTCATACTCGAATATCATATTTTAAAATATACTATAAATAAGAGTATAAATGTTATAGCAACAACCATCAACATTTTTGTATTTAAATTAATTTATTGAACCTTTTGAATTAAACAACTTAAAATTTGATAAAAAAGAGTCGCACTTAAAAAAATCCAAACCAAACCACTTTTATCCATAAATACAAAATAAAGAAAAGTACCCCACCAAAAAGTGATTTTGGCAGCCACCACCTCCACCCGGCACTAGAAATGCAAATTCACTAAACCTGAATTCAAATGTTTATTTAATTATTATATAAGTTTTATATTCAAATAATCTTGATTTGTGGAGTGAACTTCTTTTTTTTCTTTAATTCGTATCTATACAGTCATCCCATTTACTAGACATCCCATTTACTAGAATTAGTAGGAAAAAAAAGTCAAAGATAATTAATGCATTTTATTTCCATCAATTAATTTTTATTTAATTATTTTTCCCATAAAATCTGTACAAAAAAATGTACGTAAAACAAAAAAAAAGCAGATTTTATCGGAAGATAAAATCTTGATTTTACCAAAAATAAATCAGATGTCAAGCCTAAATTGAAGGGTTTGGTTGTCTATATAAATATTGATTTACGAAATCAGTACATCTAATATTTATAGTTTGTGTAGATTTAAAATTTCTTCTTATCTTTGTACAAAAAATCTTATCTAATTGTATGAAAAATCTGATCTGATTTGTTCCTATACATATAATGTGATTTTCGTATATCAAGATTTTTTTAAAAAAATCTTAACAGATATTGACTCTACTCTACCAATTATAAATTATAAATATTAAAATATTGAACCATCGTCTTCCTCACTTTCAACCTCCTGCGAAAAAAATATCCTCAATCAGTATGTCATTCAAAGCAATGAATCAAGGATTTGACTTAATCAAACAAGTTAACAGGTCTTTCATCCAATACTATCTTATTGTACAATTTTCCTACGTATTATAAAACTTTTATTTAATATTGCATCTTATAATATAGTATTCCCTAAATAAATATATTCGGAGCCTCGCACGGGTCACATACTATATATATCCCGTATATTTTTTTTTTATTAATGTATATAATTGTAAATTTAGATAAATAATCTTAAAATTGTGCACCCCCGTGCATTGCAGGGCTTTGCACTAATTTATCTCATAAAAATCAAGTTGTAAAATCAATTATAAGTTTGAAATCCAGATAAATTATAAATTAACTTATCATCTGTCGGTTTATAGGCTTTATGCAACATACTTTTGTCTATATATACAAGAACCATTTCCTAATTTAGTTAGAGAGAACAACTTTTCCGATGTTAGAGGCGGAGAGAAAGGAAAGAGAATAAAAATGGATTATGAGAGGATGAATCGAATTCAGAGCCCAAATCCTCCATCAGAAACGCCGGCCTCACTGCTGTGATCTCTGTGATTGCTTCCCCTGTATAATCTTATTCGCGACCCGGTAAATTTCACCTTTTTTTTCGCAAAATTTGAGCTCTATCTGTTTTCCGATGAGAATTTTTTACACCACGTTGAATTGAGAATCCCAATTGGCTGGTATTTAGTGGAGATCAAGCCGCTGGCGGTTGTAATCGTGGGGAATTTTGTGGTGTCGTTGAGAATCTCGAACTCGAATGGTGATTGAGGATAACGAGAGCTGTGGGAGTAGGGTGGTTGAATCTTCCGGGAAGAGCCGGCAGCAGCGGAAGAAGGTGGAGGTTTACAATGAGGTTCTGCGGCGGCTGAAGGAGTCCGAACATCCAGAGGCGCAGGAGCCGTCTTTCGATGATCAGCTTTGGGTCCATTTCAATCGTCTTCCCGCAAGGTTTACCTTAGCTGCAACCTACTCATATTTACGACCTAAATCATGTTATATAAGTTTGTTCAATCTATTCTGGGATGGACTTTTCAAGCTTGATTCTCTTTCTGTCTTGCATTTTTATGGTTTGGAAATTGAGTGGGATTTTTTTTTCTTTGCTTGATTCCTGAAATTGGATTACGGTTGATTATTTTTTAGAAATGCCTTCTGTGTTATTTGTTCAATTTCTGGTGGTTTCATTGTGCTCTTAAGTTGTAATTGTACTCAATTTTGATTTAATCAGAGTAAAATGATGTAAATGGTGAAACCAGTTTACGGGCCGTTTTATGATGAGCTGCATGCAAGGAATGTTAGGTTAATTTTTCGACACACAAGTGATCCTCGTGCAAGTTGGTCTGCAAAGACTCTTGACGGTGATGGTTTTGATGATTCTGAATTGAAGGTATGCTATGGATGTGAATGTTGAAAGGGCAGAAGATGTTCTCACCCACAAACGTTTACTGCATCTGGCACGTGATCCTGCTAATAGGCCAGCTCTCGAAGTTCGATTAGTGCAGGTGATTGTTTTTATATCCATGTATGTTAAAACATATTGTTTTTATTTCTGGACTATAGATGTTGTTGCTCTATACTCACCTTATTACTAACTCAAAATGTCAGTTATGTATGCTAGAATAGTTATTTGAATCATGTCGGTAGTGCCTTGATAATTGATTCTATCATTTGTGATCAACCAGACTTTTGTCCTGGTATATTGTTATCATTTTCAATTAGTCTCTCTTGATGCCATCTATATACTGAATACAATACTGCCATGTACAGGTTGTACCTGTTCTTGATGGAAATGCAGGAGATTCTGTGCATTCACGTCCTCCAAGAAAAGGGAGGTAACAATTCATTTTGAAAGACTAAATTTTAATTGTTTTCAATGTATTTAGGTTTCCATTAGTCATTTTTTGCATTTGTGATACAAATCATCACCACCTTCTGTTTTCATCTAAGATCTATTAAATATATAAATACTTATCCTCTTTCTTATTCAGCATCCATCCACCACCTGCCTTTGGTTCTTCTCCTAATCTTGAAGCTCTTGCACTTGAAGTCAACAAATCGGAAATTCAAGATGGAGATAGTGCCACTGATGCCGGTACCAAGTCTGCTAGGTATTCCCTATTGAGATGTTCTATTTGTGTTCTTATTATTGCTTGGGGCTGCTGTATTGAAACTTCAATGGATAGAATGAAGTTGTTAGAACCTTAATACATTTCACCATAATGAGGAACCGTCGATGCAGGCCCATGCATGAGATTACCTTTTCAACTGATGACAAGCCAAAGCTCCTCAGTCAGGTAAGAGTGCTGACCATGCATAAATGATATTTGCTTGAGTAAATTGATTCGTAAACTTCTCTTTGTCGGTTTGATGGATGTTTGTGAATTCGTATGTCATGTTATTTTATTGGAGTTGCTTGGTTTTCCAGTTGAAACTAATATGTTTCTGGGTGAATTAGCAGGCATGAGCAATCCAATATGAAATATTTTGCATTGTTTAATGAAGTATGAGCTTCTCTGCATTTATTTATGTTAAAAGGAAAACAGATACTCAATGAACTCTACTGTTATGTACATTGCAGTTGACTTCTTTGTTAGCTGAAGTTGGGCTAAACATCCAGGAAGCACACGCCTTTTCCACCGTAGATGGCTATTCTCTAGATGTCTTTGTCGTTGATGGATGGCCATTTGAGGTATCTGCATATTTTTTTTAATCATTTTCTGTCTTGAATACCAGGAACCGTCCTTTACTTTCCACTTTGTAATGGTTGTTTATTGCTTCTGACTTATTGTTCTTTCCGGTACTTTGCTCTTTCACGGAAGATGTTATGTTCTACTCTGGTTGATAAAATATTCTAATCTTTATGAAAATAATGACCATTCTCAGAACCCTTGTTGTGATAAGAAATAAGGTAAAAATGTTGACACCAAGTCACCAACCAATGTACTGGATCTCTTTCAAAAAAGGTGCTTGTTAATTTGTTATTATTATTATTTGATTAAAAAGGCTTGAAGGTTACTCGTAAAATCACGTTCCATACCTATTTCATTCTATAGATGTATTGTCTCTCTGTCAGCAGCTTTCAATGCTAGCTTTTATAGGTTTTTTTAACCCTTAATGTCATACTTTTTAGGAGGTTGAGCGACTTCGGAATGCTCTGGAGAAAGAACTTTTCAAGATTGAGGTATTTTTCACATTGGAATTAATTTTGGCTGTTGCATATGACCCGTTATCATGACGGGTGAATTTAGTGTGACTTGTCTGCCTACAAAAGTTGGTTTTCTTTTAAATGTTAATTATTTTTATATAATGTTTATGCTTCTAGATGGAGCTTATACTTCATTAAAAATTCATTTTGGTGTTTCTACTGATCTAGGCTATCTGCTTCATATAAATTATCGAAAGAGTCTTCTTTTGACAACAGCTTCTTTTTCACAGAAAAATTCTTGGCCAAGTCCAAATTCTTTGCCTCTCAATGAACCTGAGAAAATAGAGATTAAATGTGAATCAGATCATCTGAAAATACCCAATGATGGTACTGATGTTTGGGAAATTGATCCTCAATACTTGAAATTTGAATCGAAAGTAGCATCCGGATCTTATGGTGACCTGTAAGTACTATAGATATTATCTTTTATGGTTACGGTTTCCTGTGAGTTTACACCCTCCTTGAACTTTGTATTCCAGGTACAAAGGTACTTATCGCAGTCAGGAAGTAGCAATTAAAATTCTCAAGACAGAGCGCTTGAATACAGAACTGCAGAAGGAATTTGCTCAAGAAGTATATATAATGAGGTTTGTCATGGTTTTATTATCACCACCTGTAGATGGATGCTTGGCTGCTTGGAGTTTCTCCTGACTATTTTTCAGATGGTTTAAACTTTTATATGGATTAGCAATTTCTTATTAATGAACATCCAGTTGTTACTCTTTCGCATACACCCTTAGTTACCTGCAGAAAGTGCAATCCTAGGGTTATTCACCATAGGTTCACACATCTCACACAAATCCATATGGGTGTGTGTTGATCCAATGGTGAAAAACACCATGTATGCACTGCCCACATTTAACTGGAATAAGTTCTGTGGACTCTTGTGATACTTCCCCTAGAAATTATTTTCTGGCTCTTATGTTGAGTAAATAGTTATTTTTTTTCTGAAAGTTCCTGAATTTGCACATTATTGTCATGTTTTTTCTCTTCCTTTTTGTTTTTCTGTTCTTTTCATTACCCACCTACTTGCAGAAAAGTTCGTCACAAAAATGTCGTGCAGTTCATAGGGGCATGCACCAGACCTCCTAACTTGTGCATAGTAACAGGTAGGTCTACTAAGACGCTGTGGCATGTACTATGGAGCTCAGATTTTAGAAGAAAAATTTAAACCAATATTTTTTTACCAGTTTCTGTTATAGCCAATTGGCTGTAAACCTTTCCTGTTTGTGTAATCACAGAATACATGTCTGGAGGGAGTGTTTACGACTACCTACACAAGCAGAGGGGTACCTTTAAGCTTCCAGCCTTACTTAAAGTGGCAATTGATGTATCAAAGGGCATGAACTACTTGCATCAAAACAATATAATTCACAGGGATTTGAAGGCTGCAAATCTTTTAATGGATGAAAATGAAGTAAGCAGCAAGCAGTTCATCAGCATTACTTGGTTTTTGTCTTCTTAAGCTGCTATATGCGACTTGTATTGCTTCATGATCCATCACACTGTAGTTTTTTCCTTGTAACAGAAGTTACCTTGATTGCGATGAAAATGAAAATTCAAATGTGTTGGGTTTCCTTGATGGGAACAATAAGAATGTCTTCTTATCATCCAAGAACCCTCACTTGCCTGTTTCGAGCTATGCAGACATTCTATTTTAGCTTTACGATGATTTCTGTGGTTTTTATTTCAGGTTGTTAAGGTTGCTGATTTTGGGGTTGCCAGAGTAAAAACTCAAACAGGTGTAATGACTGCAGAAACTGGAACGTACAGGTGGATGGCCCCTGAGGTGAGCTCTTTCTTGACGATTTAATTTTTATCTACATTGTTGCACGAGCCATGCTTGCACACAAAAAGGTTCATGTACACTTCGACAGATGTATACGTGTCATATCCTGTTTTTCACACATCAGATCGTCTTTAAAATCAACAATTACTTTATTTTCACAGCAATCGTGTGAACTATGTCAAAGTGATTTTTTTATTCTTTCCTTTTCTTTTCTGTCAAAGTAGCATTTTTTCTTGTAGCATTTAAGTTGAAGGGTGCTGATTTGGTTATGAAGTTATCTGGTGGATGCATATTACAGTATTTTTTTATGATTCTCTTGTCTGTTTTTTTTTTTTTAATCGATAGACAACTGTCATGTTTGCTAATTTCTGCTTGTGAGCTGTTAACATATATGCGTTCATCAATATTTAACCAACTTTTCTGTAACCAACTTCATATTATATGTTATTTTCTGACATTTTCATTTCATTTTTTTTTTCACTATTGTTGTGCTGATTCCACTTGCAAACTGAGAATCCATGTGTTTGCAAACAAACACACTTTTTGTTCTTCTGTAGGTTATTGAGCATAAACCCTACGATCATAAGGCAGATGTATTTAGTTTTGGGGTTGTATTGTGGGAATTGCTGACAGGGAAGGTACTCTTTACCTTCTCCCCCTG